TTGTAGTTTAGTAGTTGAAGCCAAAAGACTGAAAAGATTAGTTTTTCAAAATTTAAAATTTTCTTACAATTTTTATGTAGCTGTAGTTTCACAGCTTTCACCAGACCAGCGACTGGACCTGGCAAGGTGGGAAGCAAAGACAGCAAAATGGAAATGATCCTCCTACTACTCAGACCAAGGTCATTGCTGCTTTGGTGCATCATCAGTCTGGGCCTGGAGCATTGCTTGGGATTTCTGCAGTCCTGGCTTGGCTTTCTCTGTAATTGGTGTATGTGTAGAGTTAAGTGTTTAGTTTGTTATTTATGTCTCTTCTCTTAATGAGAGCCCAGGTGTAGCTCATAGCTAGTCTGGGAGGTCATGGTAGGATCATGGATTATATTTTTAAAACAGAACTTGGTTTAAGGTGTGTGTTGATTCACAGGAAATACATGGCAGTCTTGAGGATCAGTCTGGTGATCCAATACTTCTGCATTTATTGGAATAGATCAAAGCTTGGGTCAGACACTACTGCAGATTAGTTTTTGTCTGAGTAGACCAGTGCTTCAAAGAACTGGACCTGTATTTGTATCCTGCAGGCTGGGTCTGTGTTGGTTATCCTGGTTTAGCAGGAAATGGCTTGAGCACCCTGGCACCTGTTCTCTGAACTGCAAATCACAATTAAAAAACACCACACCAACTAATTAAATTATAATTATTTATTGTTAAAAACAAATTTAAATCTGAAGATTGTTCAGCTGCTTGGTTATTTGTCCCAGCTATTATCTTTTGTTGAAAAGGCATTGAATGATTGTGATTTTATTTTTCTTTTACTTTTTTTAAAGGAAAATTAGTTGTTTGGGTAAGCTGTGCTGTGTAACTATCTATTTCCTGTACTTGTTAAGTTCTGATATGATTTTTGTAAACATATGTCATAATCTCAGTAAAATATTTCTCACACTGGTCTTTTTGAGGTAATGATAATCTGTGTTTTGTAGAGGAGTTCAGGCAGATCAAGTRACACGTCTGTGTTCACATGAAGTCTGTGCTACAGCTGGAAATTCCTCTAAATCCTCATCTGTCAGCCTAACCACTTAGACTTCTCTTCCCCTGAGATAAAGGCACGCAAACCCAGTTTTAAGCTGTTTGTAAGCCCTCTGACATACTGTAGGAAATAACATAGCTGCTGGCTTCTTACTTTTCTGCAATTTTGTGACATTCATTATTGAGGAGTTGCAACGGGTTGAATAGATCTCTTGATTCCTGCTCAAATCCACATGTGATCTGGAAGCTGTGTGTACTGTGCAACTCTCTTAATATTCACTTCCGAGATGACATAGGGGCTCTAGATGTAATTTATTATTAAACCAATTCACAATTTTGCCCACTTTTGCCATGTTTATTTTTTTAACAATAATGCTAACATTAATAAAGATTTTGTAAATAAAGAAGTGCCTGTGTTGCACAGAAATGTGTTCACTTGTCCTGTTAAGCGTGGGTTTTGTTGGTGTTCCATGAATTGATCTGTTACCCTCTGGTGCTGCAGCTGTTCTTAAAAAAGGACGTGCCATTTCTCGTGTAATAGCTTGCATAATGCTGACAAGGGAGAAAGTCATACGATTCCACATTAATGCAAATATTGTTCATGTGAGATTATTACACAAACCCATTAATATTATTTTGTGTAATCATATGTTTTTGAAAAGTGTAAAATTTATTTTATTTTGCTTGAAAAATGAAAAGCTTAAGTTGCCTCATTTGAATAATAAAATAAACTTTTTCCCCCTGCCCCCCCCCAACACACTCTTCTAGTATGGTGKTTTTTTTTTTGTACAAATGCTCATGATGAATTTGGTTGCTTAGGGCTACATTGCATGTGCTCAGTCAGGCTGACTGTGTGCTAACCAATTGGAGTGGTACCCCATGAGCAGAGCATGGTCTTGTAATGTGTGACAAGGATTTGACCTGACAGTTTTACAGTCATGCAGTGTATGGAGGTTTAAAGCAACAAAAAAGGGCATGAGTGACTGCATGGCAGAGACCTGTGCTTTCCTGCCGCCTCTGCAGCAAAAAAAAATGTGTTACTGCTTTGGTCAAGAAAAGCTGTTTTCTCCTGTCCTTTTTCTCTCACTCTTTTATTTGAGACCGACTAGATGTGGAGCCATCTGTATTTTTACTTTGTTTTAAATACTGAATAACCAACTGTAATTTAGTGAGGGATATGTATTAAATCATTACTGTTGAAAGCCATTTCATTTGTCTTTATGATATGTTATTATGCATTTCAAAATTGAGATGCTTGCATTTTGTATTGTGAACTACTTTCTTATGCTCTGCTGTAGATTGGCATGGAATGTTCTTCTTTCATTACTTGTTTATGCTTTTGCTATAACTTGATAACTTTGTGAATAGTTATTGATTTCTTCAGGGATGTAGTGAACTCAAATGCAAACTATTTCTGACCTCATCAACACTGGAACAAAATACATCACACAAGTGTACAACAGCTTGTAACTTTACATGTCTAATCTGCTGCATGGTAAAAAGGATAAATGGCTATTTAGGAGGGGTGCTGAGTAGCTTTTACTTGGTTTAGTCTTGAAGATTTCTCTGTACAGTTTTCTTTTGTATAACATGTTCTCTGTAAATGCTGTGAAAGAAAACATCAAAATTGACTACTGTGAGTTGAGAATAAATAAAATTGAAGTTTGCCATGAGAAATTAAGTAGCCCAAATAACAAACAGAAAAGAGGTCTGTGAATGATTTTAAGGGTAATTTAATGAATGTATTAGTTAGCCTTTTTTGCTTATAAACAAAGACAGGATTGCTGCTTTTGCTTTCATAGTGGTATAGTGGTTGGAACTCAGATAAATTACTGGATTTCTTATTGTGTGTTTTCTGCTTTGGACCTGAATTATTTTATTCAAAAAATGTCAGGAATTATTACCTAGAGGCTTAAAGTTATATTGTGGCTTGTTTGTCTGTTCATCATGTAATAATGAAACCTCAGCTCAATTTCTTTGTTAATAGCAGTGTTATCTAAGAAGTTGGGTATTTCTTTAATAGTAGAGGGGGGTTTCCCTTTCTGCCAGCATACAGAAAATTAAATTTTGTGTTTTTCACCTACTGTATTCATTTACAGCAGGATTTACCTGGCCTGTTGCAGTTTATCAGGTGGTAAAGCCTCATCCTCTTGTAGAAGTAGTGTCGTGTAATCTCATACTTCACCTTGCTTTTCTTGCAATGTGTTTAGATCAGCATAACCAGTGCAGTATTGCTGATGTATTTGAGAACTGTGATCTGGGCAGGTAAGCCTTATCTGCTACACATGAGGAGATGAGTGATGGATGGATTTCACCCCTGACAGCAGTTTCTCTGGTGTGCTTTACTCCTGCCTTCAAAAGCATGCACACATCACCTTTGGCTCTGGAAATCAGTTTGCTTGTGAACAGGAGGAGCCAAAGGAGTAGTGTTAACAAGAGCAAAGGCAGCCTTGAAGTGTAGGGATAAACAGTCAGAGAACTAAGAGGTGCAGCTGGGTATCTGATAGGGTCAGTGAGCAGTAAGTGGGAGGAATGTGAGAGACTGGAAGGGGAGGCAGGAGAAAATGCAAATAACAGCTGAGGGGAAGGAATGACCTGAATTTGAAAGGAAATGTCTATGAGGAATGCATGTGTATATCTGAACAATAGCATTCAGGGAAAATATTAGTGTTTTCATCAGCAACAATGTTAAAGGCAGCATTTGTAGACGCCAATGAAGTCAGGTCCAAGTTGGTTGTTCAATGCTAACAGGGAAAAAAAATCTCTTTTGTAGAAGGAGCAGCCTCTTCTATTCAGTCAACTTAATAGTAGCATATTATTGCAGTTTAAAAGCTTTTAAAATGCAGACTTTTAATTGTTAGTGATTGAGTCAGAATAAGAAATTCTTGTGCACTTGATTTACCTGTGTCAGGAGAATAAGGAATGGTGGATTAAATAGAGGGGACTGAAGATAAAGATGAAAAAGATCATTGAGCATTAGGATTTCAAATAAAATTTAGAAAAAAAAAGACTCTGTAGTGAGGACTAGGAATTGTAAAATTTGTATGAAAAATTTTGTGTTTAAAAATTGTGTGATGGGTTGATGGGAGCTGAGCAGACAAGATCAGATCAAAATCTGTGTGCTCCTCCAGAACACCCGGGTAGGTTCTCATKAACTTGTATTAGCTCATGCTTCTGAGGGTTTGAAAGTACCTTGAAAGTAGCCAATGAGTGTATAGTTTTATAAAGCTGGAAAAATCCTTACCAGAAGAGCACAAAGTGGATACCAGGAACTCTAGCTCATTTCAGTTGACACTCCTTTGGCAAGGAGAATTTTAATCTAAGAGCTTCCAAGAAGTCATTGCCGTTATGCTTGGCTTCATTGCTCTAGTCTTGTCTTGTCACCTCCTGAATGTGTCTCTTTAGTCTGTTGTGGGCTCTTGTTTTTAAAGAGCTTGTACACATTTCTGTTTGCAGCTGAGATGCTTTTGGAAACAACCATCTGTTAGGCACACTAACTGGCCAGTTGTTGAGAAAAATCCTGAGCAATGWTTTGGTTTCTTCGGAGATGTATTTAAGGGCAAAGTCTCAAATTGACTGTCTTGTTATCTTCTGTGTAGTTTACTTTTTGTTTATCACCTAGTTATTGCTTGACCTGTAACATCAAAAACATCATCTGGGAGGGAGAGAGAGCTAAGTCTGCCACCTCAAAGCAGCATGTAGTTGTGCTGCGAACAGGGAGCTTGTGTGTTGGAAATCTGCCACAGCTGAGGTCTGCGGGGATCTGTAGRATAATCTCATCCTTTTCAGGTATTCTTTTACAGAGTGAGTGTTAATGGTCACCGTCCTAATTCTAAATGCCTGGAGCATTTCTCCTTTCTCTCATGCATGTAGAGAATTTTAGTGAACAGCAGAGTATGGGGGTTCAACAGTCTTATTTATGTGTGCATTTCAGGTCTCAAACTACTTACATTAATAATGTTGCTTTATTTCTCAAGAGCATGTCATTCCCTGTGGATATATTGAGCAATTACAGTCATGAGGACTTGGAGAACTCGGCAGAGGATTACCTCTTCAACCTTCGGTGGGGGAATCCAAACGCTCCTGAATTCTTTTCTCTGCAGGACCGTCGCAAGGTAAGAGCAAGTAAATGCTGTAGGTCTGGCATTCTTAATGTCCTTGTAGATTTAAGGTATACAGTCCTATTGAATTACAGAATTATTTTATCAAAGCTTTTGTATTTTTTGAATTCAGGGTTCTTGTGTTAATCTCTATTTTTTTCACTCTGTAGTTGGGTTTAAATCTGGGTAGCTGTGACTGTGTACTGCTTCTAGGCAATAGATCTCTGTATATTCAGTAATTTTAAAAAACCTCCACAAACCCAATCTGTCTATAACCTTAAATCTTCAACTGATGAATCAAACTCTTACCTAAAAATGACTACTTCACATAGTCTCAAAAATTATCATCAGCCTACCACTATCAACCTATCACTAAGGGGTTTGTTATTTTTTGAAGCTAATTGGCTCTTTTTGTATCTCAGTCTTTCAGTGTTCTTCATGTTTAAGTTCAAGTTTTCATTATTTAGCTTCACTAATTTCAAAAGGTTTTTTTTTTTTTATCTGAAATACTCTGTGACACTTCTGAGCTGTAGTAGAGAATAACTGTGACACTTGAGTGTTTTAAACACTTACCCTTGTGTGGGAAGTTGGTCAGTGTCAATTCTGTCCAGACAAATGTTTCTATTAGAACTAATACCAATACAACCAATAGATTATAGCATTGATGAAAAGTAAGTGAGCTGAGAGGATTTTCTGTGGGATCTAAAGGTCAATGCTGTAGATTTCTTAGCAGAATCAGAATCTTGGCTACTTTTCTGCATTTATACAAGTGTTTTATAGCTAAATATTTGCTTGTATTAATATCCTCATTTGTGGCAGTAGCATGTCATAGTCTTCTTWAATTGGTTAAGCACGTCTGTCTACCACACCATTCATGTCTGTCAAGTTTTTTATACCTTAATAATGGAAACATGTGAATTTAAATATCAAAATGCATTTCAACAAAGATACTTGATTCCTTAAAGGAAGATTATTTGACCCTTTTCATATATTCTCTGAGGAGGAAAATCAAGTAGACAACTTCAGAATTTCTAAAATGTATGTAGTGTGAGCGAACAAAACCCTTTTGAATTCGCTTTCCCACTGTAGCACATTAGAACTTGTTAACAAACCAAATTTTGCTTTGCCAGTTTGTTTCTGTGCTTGACTGACTGCCTTATTCTTCTGTTGGCTTTGACAGCTTGCGGAGTTGGGGCTGTTGAAGTGAACATAATGCTGGCTCCTTGCATGCCCTTACTTCAGTTGCGCACACAAATTCAAACTGTTGGCAGAAGAGAGCTGTAACAGCACAAATTACTATAGCTAAATGTGCCAGAGCTTGGGAGTCAGAGCTCTTTAGAATGTAGTTTGTCTCTAAGAAGAAATGTTGATGTCGAAAGTAAGGACTGGAATCTGATGCTTCTACAGTTAGCCATTAAGGACTTGATTTTCAGTATTTATCTTGTTTTCCTTGATAAATATTCTCTGTAGTTTTCACTATTGTTGTTTTAGCATGAGTCTACTGAATTATTGGGCATTCTTGTTTCAGGTTCCTATTACCTTGACATCTGTGGGCTTTGTTCCTCTCTATGGTGAAGAGCAGACGCACAAAGTTCTTGCACTGTTTGCACCATGGGACTCACTCACAGGTTTCATTTTAAGTTTTTTATCTCTATATTGCTGTTAATTCTTTTTTTTTTTGTGAAAAATATGTGTAACCAGGCCCTTGCTCATTTCATGCTACTCTAGCTCATAACTTTGCCACTTGTGCATTTGTTGTTTCCTGTCCTTTTGTTCATATACTATTATTTTTTGTTGTGGATTTAAATACACAAATGCTAGAACTTTGCACACTAATCGGACCAGAACTGGACCCATTGAATTTAAAAGATACGTTGCAAAATAATGTGGTGCTTGTCTGGGTCATAGTACAACATCTCTCTTGATTTTGTTTTTATATATGCTTGACCTCTCCAAAAGGTATTGATTATACTTAGAATACATTAATTTCCCATGAATTGAGATACACATTATTAATAGTGATTGATCAGCATTGTATGTAAATTTGTCTTTAGCTTGAAGTCCTAGCATAGCTCTGGCTGAGATGACAGCCAGGTTTTTGTCAGTTTTCTCCTCCATTTCTTCCTTCCTTCTTATTCCCCTACGAGTCCTCCATGTTTCCTTCTTCCATTTAATGCCATATATATGATTGCCAAATTTGCCACAAATGCCTATAGATGACATTTTTCCTGACTGCTTCTCACATGGCCATCAGCCTTTTTACTTTCATCTAACTCCCTAAAACTTGCACAGTTTCAATATCAATATCCATTAGCAATCCAAAAGTAAAATACATGTAAGARTGAGTCTCATGTTGACAGCCATAGTTTTTAGTGGAAGGAGATATTAGAGCACGGCATCAAAGGATAGTCCTTATGTCTGAAGAAATAGTTCCTGTATGTCATATGGCAAAAAAAAAAAAAAAAAAAAAAAAAAAAAAAAAAAAAAAAAAAAAAANAAAAAAAAAAAAAAAAAAAAAAAAAAAAAAAAAGCATTTGTGTTTATTAGTCTCAGTTATCAAACAAACTTTTGGACTAGGGGGCATTTCATATGGGTGGGGAGTACAGTGCCCCATTTGTTGTGCTAGGGTAGTAGGAGCTACCTAAATGTAGTGCCATCTAGAAGATGCCTAATTTGGTTACTACAGTGTTATTCCTGATTATTTGGCAGCTTTAATAAAATGTTTCTTTTGGAATGGTAAGAATCACTAACTTTTTATTTCCCTTGTTTCTTTCAAGCTGTAGCCCTGTATCTTGCTGACCAGTGGTGGTCAATTGATGACATTGTGAGAACATCTGTCCCTGCTAGACAGGGACTCCATCAGGTAAAGCGCTCCAACATTCACCTAGCAAATAATCTTATACCTCAAGATAAAGGCAAATAGTTAGTCTGACAGATATCACATGTTTTAATTTCATTTAGAAATGAGATGGCTGAAACAAGGTAATAGAGAATAGGTACTAGGGGAAAAGGAACCTCTGTGTGAAGGTAGTGTGTAGAGCAAGAACGACTTGTACAGCAGCTTCATATGTAGACAACATAGATGTTAGCTGTGTTATAATTTCTTTCTTTACTCTTCAGAATATTGTTATSTGGTTGTGTTGAAGCATCTTAGTAGAATAGTGTGTGTACCATGGCAGTACCTATTGGTCTCATCAGGATACTAGCTAACCAAGAATACTGTAAGGAACGTGTTTGACAGAAGCAAGTTGGAGCTGGTGGCTTGCTGTGGCAATACATGAGGTCTGGAAAAGTACATTGCCTGGTATCTGCTTTATTGCTCATCATTGACCCTTGTTATCATTATTTAACCCTATGTAGCATGGAGTTTTCCAAATCTGGAAATCTGTGTTTTTCCAGGGCTGTAATTTATATCTGCTCATGGAATCTGGATACTTATCTTTGATTTTTGCCATTTTTAATATTTTCTGTAGAAAATTTGGCATGTAGCTTGCTTTCCGCATACTTCTTAATGGTAGGAAAATCAGGAAAATGAAATTTTTTGCAAGGGAGGTAGCTGAGACTAAGCATTAGAAGAGAGCATGGTTCCTCCTTCCTTTACAGTAAGTAGAATAGTGGTGAAGTCAAATTTCATGTATAAAAGGAACCATGCAGGACAGAGAAAAGGATATTGAATTCCTTATTTCATGCCACAGAAACTGTTGTAACTATTTTTTTCACTGCATCATGTCCTGTTGCCTGCCACTCTATCAGCAGTGATTGAGTGTGCCAAGTCCTGCCACCCTGAGGCTCATCATTTCTCCTTTGTAAGACTTTGGTTACCTGCTAGCCCAGGAACTCTGAGGCTGATGTGCTGCTATTGCATTTGATGAATGTTTCTTGAGTCCAAAAATAGTTTTGAGTTAAATCATAACATTCCCACTCCACTGCCCTTCTCCCAGCTTTCACATATTGGATTAGGAGTGACATTGAAGTCAAGGAATGTCCTCCGTGGTAGTGATTTGAACTTAATCTATTGCTATGGCTTCTGAGCATCTTCTTGCCTTATAACAAACCCCAGAGTCACCCTGCTTGAGCACTTACAGCCTTCCCTTGAACTCTGTCTGCAGCTGTGTTAACTGGCAACCTTGAAAAATAACATCTCTGATGTATGGTTATTAACTAATCTGACCAATCTTCTAAAATGTTTTTTTTCTGTGTTTCTTTAGGTCAAATCTGTTGGAGAGAGGGTTGTTCTCTATGTTCTGAATCGAATTATCTATCGAACACAAGAAATGGACAGAAATGAGATCCCCTTTCTCTGTCATGGCAGCAGCCATTATGCTAAGATCATGTGGAAGAAAGGAGAGGCTATTGGGTTTTATTCTGTTAAACCTAAAGGTAGAATGCTTGAGGATTGTGGGTTTTGGGTGGTAAAGAGGAGGAGATAGGGACCCTATTTGAAGAATATTGTATTAATAGGCTTTACAGGCCTTGCAGGCCTAATTGACTTGATGTTTTCCTGCAGTCCTAAGAGATCAAATGGCTGTTGAAATCTCTAGCTGAAATATATGCTTTAGCAATTTAAGTTCTTAGATTTCTTTATCTTTACAAAATATATTTAAAATTGTAAGAAATTTTRTATACACAAAACCTTTTTTTTTCCTGCTGTAGAACGATTTTGTTGGGTTGGACTGTGCTTGTCTTGAGTTAGCAAAAACTGARGGCTTTTATTTCTAAACATTTCAAAATTTCACCCATGTTTGGGTGCATAGTGTATCCTCCAAATGAGTAGCCTATGTAGAAAAGACTGCTCTTTTCAGATGTTTTGAAGAGTGGTGGAGCTCTTCTAGAATCCTAAAGGGTAGCTAAGTAATGTAACCTCTCTGCTCAAGTTTGCCTTGCTTGAAAAATGCAGATAATAATAGAGTCATAGAATGACTTTGGTGGAAGGGGCCATAAAGACCATCTAGTTTCAATCCCACCACAGTGGACAGGGACACCTTCCACTAGATCAGGATTCCATACAACCTGACCTTAAACATGGGATGGGGCATTCAGAGTTTGAACACAGATGGGCCATCCATTTCAGGGATGGGCATTCATGGATTCTTTGGACAACCCAGAGCCTCACCACCAYTACAGTGAAGAATTTCTTCCTAACAGCCAATATAAAGCTACCCTCCTTTGGCTTAAGTCCACTGCCCCCTAACCTATCAGTACATGACGTTGTGAAAAGTCCTTCCTGAACTCTSTTGTAGGCTCCTTTCAGGTGCTGAAAGGCCACACTTAGGTCACACCAGAGCCTTCTCTTCTCCAGGCTGAAAAACCCCAACTTTCTTAGCCTTTCCTGGTGCAAGAGGTGTTCCAGCTCTAAGATAAGTGTGTTTCTGGGTCCTRAAAAATACAAGGTTTCAAAGATTRACTGGGTTCTATGGCCAACTTTGTTTTTCTTTGGTCTTGTTAGAGAAGGGGACACCTCTTTGGCATAGTAAACAATGAGAGACAATCCTGAAATGGATTGGCTAGTTAATGGGCTGTCTTAATGCCATTATATGACATCCCTTTCTCACAGCTGAGTTAATACCTRTCCTTGGAATCCTCTGATACCAGGAAGTACCTATGTGTTGTGACCATCTGTTCCRTCTTTAAGTTAGGATCATATGTTGTTTATGGGAGAATTTACATGTCTTCATTATGTCATTACTATGTCTTCATTTCAAAAATTGGAATAATTGTTTCAGTCTTTAAACAAGAAATGAAGTAGTCTTCATATTTGTCCTGAGAAGTCATGTAATCAGTATGAAAGTGTAATTAAATAATTWTGTTTTTTCTATTCACTCCTCCATCTTTCAGCTTCATTTTTACTGTAGTTTTCATATGGAACCATATAGTGAGATTTCAAAGTGAGCCYTTCTTCTCTGTCCTCTCTGTCTTGTCTATTCTTTTCTGGCACTATGRACTTTTCCTATTATATAAATCTATTGATATATCTTGGCAACATTATGAAGCTYGCCCAAAAGAGATAATAAATGACTAATAGCAATTATTTATTTTTAATATAGTTATATATTATTTTTATAACTTTATATTACTTACTATTACATAGTTTGAAGTTTTTATAACTTATAAAGGTCTTTATTTAAATACGCTAAAATCCATGSTGCAGCATGTCAGTTTGGCGTGCAATTATGTCATTCATACTGATGGATATTTTTTCCCTCTGATTGTTTTAGGAAGCGCTTGTAGGTCTTTTCTTCATCAGAAGTATAAGATGCCAGTGCTAGACACAATGTTTGTTAGAAAGAAACATCGTGGAAAAGACTCTGGGCTAATCATGTTGGAAGACTTTGTGGATTCCTTTACTGAAGAGCCTCTTGGCCTACGCTATCCACTGTCATCCTTCATCTATACAGGCAAGCTCTTTAATTTTTCTTCTGATCTTCTTTGTAGTTTCTTTACATGTCCAGTTGCATGCTCCAKATTTGTAGCCTCATCCTCAGGTTGTACATTAAATTTTCTGCGCTTCAGTGAAGGCTAAAAATTGTGATTGGTTTAAGAAGACGTAGTTCCTTATGCTATTTTTAATTRTCTATGTAAGACCACATTATTTGAATTCTGTTGGCTTTCTGCTGCTGTGAAGTTTACCACTGTCCTGTTTGCCCCACCAAGCCTGTAGAATGGGCTGAGGTGTTTCTTGTGGGATCTTACCTGTACCTGCCTTGTAGCATTTTTTACTTACATATAAACCTCACAAGGTTGTTTTCTCTGAACTTCTGGTTAAGAAGACTTACTAGGCTCTGAACTTCTGGTTAAGAAGACTTACTAGGCTCTATTTTGACTTGTGTTTGAGAAGGCACAGTTCTAAAATAGAAGGAAAACACGCTTCTTCCATTAGCAATCTAAGAGGACTATGTGATGTAGAAAATTGCATGGAATCTGGAAATTATGTTCTTGGGACTGTACTCAGACAAGAATTACATTYCTTTTGCCATGTTTCTCAAGGTATGTTCTATTCTTATGCCATTTGCCAGGGTTCCTTCTATGACCATTTTGATCTGGCCTTCTTAACCAGTGGAAGTTTTCTGCTTTTATAAGCATCACAGTCTGTCACTGGATTGATAAGATCTGATTTGTTAGGCATCAACCAGGAAAATTACTTGAGCAGAATTTAATGACTAATGCATTTCTGTGGTCAATGAGACAGTGGGGATCTGTGCTCTGAGACTATGCATCAGTTGTGAATCAGGTGAAAAATTGTAGTTTTCCTAGCAACTGCCACAGAATMATTTCAAAGCTTGCCTCTTCAACTGTATGTTCAATACAGGTATGGAGAGAAAAGAGATGGAAAGACAAGAGAGTAGAAAACATTCTAGGAGCAAACAGTGATTAACCATTCAATGGTAATACGTTAATATTCCCAGAGAGTGCTTTTCACGAGGGCACATTGCAGTGGGTGACATAAAAAGCTTGACTGCATCCTCTGTTTAAGTTACCCTCCTGTCCTGTACCCTCCTGCACAATGCAAGTAGCACTGAAGTAGCCACTGAAGTAGCAAAACCCTGAAGTGGGCACCAGGAAAAGAGGAAAATCTCATTCATCTTTGTTTGCAGTTTAAGATAATAATGGAAAGTATTTAAACCTGAAGAAAGGATTAAGAAGGATGGGCAGGGTAAATATTTCAGACTTGACTGTTTTGTTAAGCAATTATTTCTGGTATTGTTTGCATATGATGGTAGATTTCAAGATAATTTGATTTCAGATAAATTTTAAAACTGAGGTATAGCTGAGTATTTAATATCCATAATATGGTGTTTTTTTCTTATGTTTGCTCAGCTTGTAAGCAGTACCTTGAGAAATACCCCGGGGATAAAAACCTTTTGTGGCAAGTGGAGGGAGGAGGAGACTGGTTCCAGAGAAAGTCTATTATGTCTATAGTGCAAAAGGAAAATCTCAAAATTGCAGGTATGGATGCTTTGTTTTGCTGTTTTCTGACACTTTGTAAAAGTTCAGCAAACACTCTAGAATAGTAACTTCTGTGAACACTTTTTAGAAACTAGCAGAAAGATTTTTATTTGTCCTGAGAGACCATATTTGGAATGATGTCATGGTTTGACCCCAGCTGGCAGCAAAGTACCATGCAGTAGTTTGTTCACTCTGTCCCCCTCCAGTGGGAAGRGAAGGAGAGTCTGAAAAACAAGTAAAACCTGTGAATTGAGATAAGAACAGTTTGATAATTTAAATAAGATAAAATGTAATAAATATAATGGAAAAGGAGACAACAAAAACAGAGAAATAAAACCCAAGAGAGAATTGGGTGCAGTTGCTCACTACTTGCTGACTGATGTTGAGCCAATCCCCAAGCAGCCATCCACCCCTTTTAGCCAACTGTCTCCAGTTTATATACTGAACATGATGTTCTGTGATGTGGAATATCCCTTTGGCCAGCTCAAGCTGGCTGTCCTGGCTTTAATCCCTCCCAGCTTCTTGTGCACCTGCTTGCTGGGAAAGCATGGGAAACTGAAAAGTCCTTGACACAGGGTAAACACTATCCAGCAKCAATTAAAACAATGTATTATCAACATTATTGTCATACTAAATTCAAAATACAGCACTGTGCCAGCTGCTAGGGAAAAAATAATTCTATCCCACCTAGAAGTGGGAGAATATGCATTCCGTCTTGTCTGTATCTTTCACATGCTCAGATTCCATTCTTTAAAATACACAATCACCTTTCATGTCTTTTGATACATACACACAAATCACACACATGTATTATTCCGTTAGTCTGTGGGCCATCCTTATGAAATGTCAGTTGGCTTCATTTAGTCCATGACTTTGAGATCCATCTGTCATAACTGTCTTCTAGGGCAGAAAAGATTTTGTATTGACTTGGATTGTGGCACACTGGAGCCAGTTCTTCTTCCATCATGACTACACTGGTTTGGTTTCACAAAGTTAATTYTTCATTGATCTGTGATTTTTACTATAATACCCTTGATATGGCAGTTGAATGGGAATCAGGTTCAGATCCCCATATTCAAAATGGTGAAGACAGGTGCTGTGAGATACCCAGTTCTGTGATGGGCATATAACCATGGAAAAGACAATACACAGAGTTATACGGCCATTAATATCATACAATTTATAGGCTACTCTCACCCAAAATCAAATGCCTGTTGAGGTATGCAATGGCCTTCCCCATCYTCCTGCATTGCCCGCTAGGTGCACCCAGGTGYTCAAGCCAACTCAACTCCAYACATTTTTTTGCCTTTACCTGAAGCAGGAATAACCCAGACTGTTTYCCCCTGTGTATTTATACACCCTACAGGAAATTTATCCCTTTCTATAGTGTGTATGAGTTTGGACTATGCTATGCCAGACTCCCTAGTATTTACTTAACAGGTGACTTCTGCTACATGAGTGTCCCAATGTGTGAAGGTCCTGCTACCCACTGCTCCTGGATAAATGGAGCAGTCRGTTGTATCATTTCTTTTTTTCTGGAGGCTGGTGCATGACAGGGAGTGTGATATTCCCACTCAGCATCATGGTCTTTGGCCTAGCTGTTCTTGAGTTTTTTTACTAAATGAATCCCTCTGTTTGATTTGACTGGGACACTGCCACCTTCTTAAGACTACTTTCTTAAGCCTCAGTGCTGGTGGTGGTACGGGGCACAGATTATGTTCTCTTCTCTCTACTCATTGCTTCCATCATTATAAATGCATGAGACTTTCCTTGGCTATGTGGGGGGAGGGGTGTGATATAGTCCATCTCCACAGTCTCCCCATATTTCTATTTTGGCTATCATTCTCCATACCAGAGAGGCTTAAACCACTTGGCCCATTTAATTGCAGTGCATGTTTCATGTTCATGATCTGTGCAATTGTGTCCATGGTCAAGACCACCTCTGGATCGTGTGTCCATCTGTAATTTGCCTTGATTACCTGAGGTGTCAGAGGTGCACCAAGCAAAAAATAATTTGTTCTTACATGGCCAATTCCACCTGAGTTGCTTCAATCTTAGTAGCCTGATGCACCTGCTGGTTGTTCTGGTGTTCTTCAGTGGCCCACCTCTAGGGTRTATCAGTCTCTACATAAGGTATTTTCATAGCCAGGTTCTCCACCTAGACAGCAGTATCTTGTCACAACTTGGCAGCCTCAGATAGGTTTGCCTTTGTGCTCTGTCGCTCTGCTTCCATCCCTGCAACCAGCCCCACAGGGCATTTGCCACTACACATGGGTCAGTATAGAGCTAATGCATTTTTCTCATTCAGCAATGTCTAAAGCCAGCTGGATGGCTTTCACCTCTACAAACTCACTTGATTTTCCTTCAGCAGTTCCTGCAACTAGTCATAGGAGACTTGATCTCTGATCCTCTCCTACAAYGTTGCAGAACTATCAGTCAATAAGGCATATTGCTTCTTATTTTCTGGTAATTTATTACACAGCAAGTCCTCTTCAGCATGGGTCACCTTCTCCTCTAGTGATGTTCCATCACCTTTTCAGGCCAGTCCTTCATCACTTTCAAGATTCCTGGACAATCTGGTGGGTGCAATATTGCTGTTGGTGCACTGTTATGGTAGTGACTGGCACCTGTTATTCTTCAACAGCTCCCACAAGAGAAAGGTCCTCTGAGAGAAAAGGCCAGGCAGACAGCTGCCTTATTTCCTCCATCTCCAATGGGAGCTATAGGATATTTTCTGGGTCCTTGAAGTATCCTCTCCTGAGACAGTCTGTGCCAAGGATTCATGGAGGATTCATGGAGACTCTGGGACATTTATAGTGGCATGCTTTTGCCACACATTCCCAGTCAGGCTAGTTTCAGTCTCCAATAAAGGCAGCTGTTGGGATCCCCCTGTCATTCCAGAACTACAAATGGGTTCTTACTCTCTATAGCTTGATGGCATAATGGCACACTGTGTRCTAGTGTCTGTATGAGCCTTATACCCCTGTGGGTATAAGGCATGCTAGGCCTGGCACTGACATGGACATGACATGCCTGACACTGAATCCTCGCGGTCCAGTGAACTAGACCGATCCTCTTCTCCCACTGACTGGAGGCAGGGGCTTTCTGACGAGATACAGAATTCTCCCCTTTCTTGTGAAAAAGGATTAGAATTCTTTACCATAGAATCAGGAGTAAGATTAGCCATTCCACTCTGTCTGCAGGACTGCTTACTAGAGACCGGAGCAGCAAATTTCCAGAAGAATTCACATTTGTGATTGTTTTTCCTTACACTTTACATGCTCATGGCTCTAAGATGGAGGTGGATTTTCCATCTCATATTTCCTTATTCTTTCTGTGGTCCCACAGGTAAACCCACCAGATTTTAAAAACCATGGTGTGATTTATCCTCTCTCTTGAGCAAAAGGATGCTGATTGTTAATAGCTGAGATACTTGTCTSTACAGGTGGGGAGTAGAACCTTCTTTTTGTTGCTTAAACTCCTAGAACTGTTTTTCATACTTTTTGAGCAGATTTTTTTTCACAACTGAGAGGCAAGCCCATAGGTAGGAAGAGAGATTTTCTTTGTGTTCCCAGATGTAGCAAGCCACTTCATCCACCATTGATGGTACTTCATCTCTGCAGATCATTAATGCCAATGAGTTGACATATGGTGATGGTGYGCTGCATATACAAATTTCTACCATGTGGGTTGCATTGGACTTTGTGCAGATCTGTATGTATGTGACTGCACATTGTTTGGGTCATAACAAATCATCTCCAACACAGCTAATTCCCTCAGGTGCTAGACACCTCTCTCTCCATGATGGTCCACTTGCCTGGGTGACAATGGAGTGCCTTCCTTAAAGGGATGCCTTTCCTTCACGCTTGACAAGCAACTAAGTGCCACAYATCTGCTTGTTTCCCCATTAGTGAGATTGGGAGGAGAATCTGAAAAAAAAATGTAAAACATCTGGGTTGAGACAGGAACAGTTTAATAATTAAAATAAAATTAAACAGAAGCCCAATATAATGATAATTATAATGAAAAGGGAGACAACAGAACCAGAGAAATAAAACCCAAGAGAGAGAATTGATGCACAATGCAGTGCAATTATATACTGGGCATGACRTTGTGGTATGGAATATTCCTTTGGTCAGTTTGGGCCAGCTGTCCTGGCTGTGTCCCCTCCCTAGCTTCCTTTGCACCTGCTCACTCAGCAAAAGAAAGTGAAAAGTCCCTGTTTCAGGGTAACCACTRTTTAGCACCACTAAAATGTCAATGTGTAATCTCACACTAAATTCAAGACACACCACTGTATGAGCTACTAGGAAGAAGTAGCTAGTATCCCTGCTGAAAGCAGAACAAAAGGTTAATTGTTATTTGAAGATACTATAATTTTCTCTCTCCCTGTTTCCTCTTTTAAATCTTCACAACAGAGGCTTCAAAGAAGGAAAATAAGAATTTGCAAGCAGAAGATAATTTTTGTCAGTGTGCAGTATCTGAAGCAAGTGGAACAAGGACTGAAGTGGAAACACAGCCAAGTGTAGGTACACAGTCTGTTATCTCTCTTTTTGTTTGCATTGTTACTGAAAAACAAGTCATGAGAAATTTTTTTGTCTGTATCATTATAACTTAATTGGCTCAAGACCATACTGTATATAAAAGACAAATGGTTTTGTTACTTTTTGTGTGGGTGCAATGTTTCCCAGTGATGTAATGCTAATGACTAAACTGGGTTAGTGTGGGTTTGGTTTTGTTTTCCTTGATTTGTTTTTGTTTGTTTGGGTTTTTTTGTTTGCTTCTTTTTGTTTTGGGCTTGGGGTCTTTGGGTTGTTTTGTGGACAGGTGGGGTTTCTCCATACATGTAGAGAGTCTGTGCCACAAATGGCAGGATCTGCAATTTGAGCTGTTTACTAGCAGGTTATATAAGGAAGATTATTTCWAGGGTCTCTGAGATGAAACTGTTTAGAAAAGCTGTTTTTAGAGGTACATATCCATGTCACAGTTCAATACAATGGCAAATGTTAAGCTTGCATTGAGAGTTATACATTGTCCACAGAAAAAGAGTGCAGCTTTCTTTGTATATATTTGATATATCAACCAGATTACAGCTACGAATTGATATGAGTTCATGAATATATTTGTGTCTTAGAGGAAAAGCTTCATAATATTCAATGTCATTTGTGTTCTGAGGACACACAGAATGTGCTTGGCAATCATTTGTAGCTTCCAATACCAYGAGCATGGATTTGAGTGCTTTACAACTGTCCATAGTATTGACATGACCATGCTTTCATGGAAGTCAATGCTTTAATTAAAAATGGGAAATGATGGCTAAATCAATGCTCTCAGCWATTAATATTTATACTTTAGAGTTGGAATTTAAGTCAAATTTTCCTGAATAAGAAAATTAGTATTTCCCAAAGCAAAATTGACAGAAAAGGACTGATGTCTCATTGACCAGAAGCAGTAACTCTTAGTTGTCTTTCATTTGCAACAGTGCCTTTAGCATAATCTCTGAGTTTTAGATAAAGATTCCAATTATGATCATATCAGCAAAATTATCTAAAAACTTACATCTTTTTGTTATAGAATTTATATATCCATATACKTGGAGAAAATAGCAGATTGTAGTTCTTTTGATTTTTGTTGCTGTGAGTTAAGAAGTCAAGTCCTGCTTCTTGTCTTGTTCTAGAGGAAAAGACAGTAGATACTGATCCTCACAGCTTGGTWAAATTGCTGGCAGCTCTATAATTAGCATCTGCAGTATCTAWAAGCAGCTCTGCAGTGGTTTGAAAATTGTTGGACCACCTAAGAAAATATCCCACCTTCCCCCAACCCATGAAAACATATCCCAGTTTTAATTTTCACCTTTCACTTAACGCTCGCTGTTTTGTGTGTTTCAGTTCTAAGAATAATTTGTTGTTAGTCTACAAATTCTCATGTATTTAAAACTCACTGGAAACTGCTTCAAATAGCAGAATGTGGACATGGCCACTTTTTGATTACCTTCTTCCATGGTATTGGAAGTGAGACTGGAGAAGGGGACCAGAATGCTGATTATTGCCATTCCACATTTCTTCTAGTGGCTAAGAAAGAGCAGTGTACATAGCTTTATTTGAATGTCTACAGCTTGTAGTCACTTTAGTGTATTGAGTGCTGAATCCTCAGCTAACTTGCAGAAAAGAATTAAGGTATTGAGATGGTGTGGAAAAACAGGAGACAAAAGAGCTCTGGGGAGGAGGACCTAAGCAGCCTCTTGTGCTGATTGTGCATGTAAGCTGCTTTATTGCTGACTCACCAAGTTCTGATTTTTCTCATTTTTTACATGGGTTGCTGTATTTGTTGCATGTCATGATAAAAATATAACTGTAGAATAGGATACAAATATAAAAATAAAACTTTGCAATCAGATTTTGCCAACCATTGTTATGTAGTCCCCTTAGTTTATAGAGAAAGGGGAAACAAACAAAAAAAGGCTTCTATAATTTAATTATGGGGACACTTGTTATAAACAGAATTCTTAGGAAAAAAACTTGGTAGCATTGTTTATAGTGACTGGTCTTTCAAATCTTATCTTTCATGTTGAGGCCAGAAAAGTTAGTAATCCATGACATAAAGATAATAAAAAAAATAAATTGTGGAGACTRAAGACTTAGATGTAAATGAAGAATTATTGTAGCTGCTGTTCTATAGGATCATTACTATGAAACAGTGCTTTAGAAAGATGCAAGTATAGATAGGAYGATGAAGATATTTTAGTCAATTCAAAAAATTTTAGAATAACATTAGCTTTGCTTTTGCTTCACAGGCTGGCTCTCAAAAAGGTGAAGAATCAACAGATGTCCATGCAAGTACATCTGAAGGTAAAAATAACCTTGATTATCAATATTGCAATTATTGTAGATAAATTGTTTTGCAGGTTATTTTACAGCTTTCCATTTTACTGCATTCATCTGTAAAAAAACATGCTTTCCTCTAAGGTGCTGAGGCTCAACTCAAATATTTTAGAGGAATTCAGATAAAATTGTTATGAATCTTGGTAAAGATACTATTCAGAAAATAYGTACCACAATGAAATGCTGTTTTAGTGGCACTCGATTTCTTTCATGGATTATTTTGGGTGGAGAGGTTATATGTAGATCTTAGACTGAATTAATTCACTTGAATTTACTTTGTTTCTTCTTTTTTGCTGTTATTCTCTTAAGACCCTAATGTAACTCATGTTTCCATCTGGACACGAAGCAGTCATTTAAAACGTCAGAGGATAAATAAAAATAGACAGGAACCTGGACCTGAAGCTTCCCAAAGAGATGAGGAAAATGTTCTTCCTGTGTCCAAAAGCAGGTACCAGTACCCCAATTTTACTGATTTTCTTAGTTTGTTGCTTGGGCAGTCACAAACTACATCAGTGTCTCACAGTGTACAGCTAGAATTTCTTCTTTCTTCCTACTTGTTTGATTTTAAAATTATTAAAAGAGAAGTCCGATGCAAGAAAGAAAGTGAGACACCATATGAAGAGTGATGGCACCAAAACCATGAAAGCTCAGTAGATAATGGAAAGGAGTAGGAGGGCTGAGAGTGTCCTGTTGTAAAAGAATCTGTATCATGGTAAAAATACCATTCACAGCATAGTTTCTTGAGATACTTGTATCCGTAATGTTCTGTGTGATCTTTGAGGAGGTGTCCCTTCCTGACTTCTTATGGTTGACATATTGCAGTGAAATGTGGTCTGACTGTTCAGTTTGGGAGCTGGTTACTGCTAATAACAAGGGTTATGGGGAGCCATATATCTTCAAAATAAAGCCCTTTGCCTAGAGAGGATTTCAAACTATCACATCTGACATAACATGCTGAAAAAAAAACCCAAACCAGCTCCAGTTTAAGAGATGCTATCCTGGGTAGCAATCGTCAGACGTAGATGTGAAGAGTAATTTGACTTGTGTGCCATAACAGTTCCCATAGGACAGGGCTTGGAGTAACAGTTTGCACTGSCTTCCATTCAGAATGCCTATTTTAAGTAAAAAAATAGCCCCTTCCTCCCTCATAGACACACTGTGTCCACTCCACCCTGCTCCATGAATATGTCTCCTTGTTCTCTTCCAAAGAAATCCACTTAAACCCCTAAAGCCTCTTTTGACAAACTGAAGAWAACTTGGTTACTTTCTAGGAAATCACTCAAGCTTGCTCCATTAGGTTTCTTTAAACAGAATTAGTTGTGAGGTTTTTGGTCTGAAGTTGAGACCTTCAGCTAGGTACAGCCTAATTTTTATGTTCAAATCACTCTGTGGAATTACAGATACTGTATTGCTGTGCTGTACTGCCCTAAGATGGTTAAACACGGTAAATGGCACACTTTGGTGCTGCTTGCCACAGCTATTGCCCTCTTCTAATAATTTGCTAATTAGTATGTGAGTTGGGCCTCACAAAATTAAGCCAGTGAGGTGCTGCTGTTACACAAGATGTGTTACATTCTGTTTATAAGCAGAGCTAAGATGAATGGTAGAACAAAGGTAACAGAACAGACTATCAGCTTGTTTCTTTCCTTCCATGCACATCAACAAATGAAAAATGGTCTTCTGTGTGGACTTTCCTATGGAGTGTTTTCATCTCAAGACTCGCACGTAGGACAAAACCCTCCAGTACTGTCTTTACCATGAGATGACAAAGCAGACTCGTGCAAATTTATTGCTTTTTTTTTTTTTTTTTTTGCTTGTATGTAATAGTTTCAGTTTATCTGAACTTCATAATCTCAAAAATGAGAACTGAATGTTTGAGTTACTGTTACTACCTGGCAGGTGCATTAGCAGTTCATCTTTAGCTATTTGTTAAATGTCATCTCTAGGTGATGGCAGCTTCTTCACCTATGATGTGTTTATTGCCTTGAATTATTTTCCAGTCATGGTCTTTGTAATATCTATATTTTCAATGACAATACAAATATAGTAGCTTTCATAATTCCATCATTTTAAAGTGGAAGTGAGACAGATTTTTATAATTGCCAAAGTAATTTTCCTAGTTGATTTTTTATGAGACGTTAGCTATTGTTAGATGCATTTAGTTTTCTTGGTTCTTATTTCCTATGGCAAGCATGCAATACAGCACTTTATAATTGGTCACAAAAGAATTTTCCTGCTGAGATCACCRAAGTTACCTATTAATGTAAAAGATTAAAAGATATATCTTACTACCCTCTACAGACCAGAACTTCTTGCCCACACATCTGAAARCTCTGAAGATCTGGTAGAAGTGCCTAAAGTGGATGCTGTTGAGAACGATGAGGGAATAATTGTTGAAAATGAGGGCCGGTCTGTGTTAGAAGCGGAGATGCAAGTATCACCCACTGAGAAACAAAGTGAGACAGAGGTGAGCTGGATGGGACAGCAATAGCAGCTAAGTTTGGAATACAGCTACAGTTTCTGTTAAATATGGTCCTTGCTACCTTCATTCATGTGACTCTTAACTCTTTGATTTTTCGCACCRGTGCTTCATTTAGAAGAGTATCTGAGAAGTTAAGGCTAGTATAGAATTAGTTGCAGGTAATATTTCACTGTACTTATTTTGAACAAGAGTTTGTAGGATTTTCAGTAAAGGAAATTTCTAGCTTGTCACCATCCTAATTTTCTCCATTGATTTCTCCTAATGAGAAATTCCAGAGAACTGGAATAAGGTCAAGATCTGACCCAGTATCTCTAATTTAAAAACCCAAAAGTTTATTTGAAGRAGTCAATAAATAGCTGGTATGCTTCAGTGACTTCTACTGGCTCTTTTTATTTCTCCACTTAAAACTTGCCTGTTTGGTTTAAACATCAAGTTTAAATCAAACTTTTATCTTCATCTTCTTAACAATGAATTTCTGAATATTCTTAGTGAATATTTATTGTGCCTTCAGGGTTTTAAGTTCTTACTGATGRATGAGAAAGTGTATCTTACACCGTGTCGGGTTCAAGGAATGACTGCAGCATGCATGCATGTCAGATGCATCAAAACGTTTTGTCTTGGCTTGTAACAGTGTAAGCTGTGGTCAGAAATTTAGTGCAGGTGATGGCAACAACAAACAAATACTCTGGTTAAATTAGTTAATGTGCATTAAGTTCTCCCTTCTTAGCACACAATTCTAGATATCTGAGCTATCTGCTTCTCACATTAAGCTGAACATTTAGATCATGGTTACACCCATTTGTGCTGGGGAACAATTGCTAAGCATAATATTGATTTACAAAAGTGGCTTTTTTTTTAGGAAATGCCATCAGAACCTCTTAATGGTGAGGTAGCAGATGAAACTGGTAAGAGCTCACTCATAGCTGAAGGGGAAACAGTAAATGAAGTTCCAAGTGGTGAATCAAAACTGCTATCTGAGAATCAAGGAAAAGAACCTGAAACACTGTTTGTTCCTTTAATTCTTGAAGCTCCAGCAAAACCTCCAGAAGACACTGAATCAGAAAAGGTGAGAGAACTGAAACGAAATGTGAAGTCATTTTTGCATCTTGTAAGGCTTTTTTCCTTTTGTTAAGTAACAGAAAGTAGTTCCTAACATTGTTTGAAATTATTGGAAGTAGCAATTTTTAGGCCAGATGATGTAAATCCATAAGAGAATAAACTAGCATTTCTGTTTCAWTATGCAGAACTGGGACCTACTTACATGTGATGCCCAAAAGAAAGATGCATTYGCTACAGTTTGCCTTGATAGTCATGAAACTGCTGTTTCTCACTAAAATATTGTTGTGAAAAGCCACATCCTTATTTTGTCTAGCAATTCTTGCCTGATGAGGTGTACAAGTAACTAACTACTGCTAAAATGCCTTTGCTTTTATAACAGGGGTTTTACTTTTTTTTTTTTTTGTTTATAGTGCAAAAGCAGATTATTATATGCTAGCAAAACAAAAATTGTGTTTGTCTAAAATACATTTTTTCCCCTTGGGATTAATATCAGAATGCTTTTTCTGTACCTGAACACTTGAATAATTTGAAAAACAGAGAGCAACTCTAGATATCAAACGCAAAAAGGAGCAAAGGACTGTTTTATCAAGTTACATATGTAGAATTAAAAACTGCTGAATACCAAAGTATCCTCTGAGATTGCTAGCTAGAGGAGTAGTTGTTCAGTGTCTTGTATCTTCAATTAACTGTATTTTTGATTGTTTTGACACCCTCCACCCATAGGTTTTAAATGAAAATGATTCTGAAGTGTTGACTGAAGAAGTTACATCAGTAGAGAAGGAGGGCACTGAAGAACAGCAAGAATCTGAAAAGACCAGCACTGAAAATGCAGCTGCTCCAGCATCAAAGGAAGAGCCTTCTGACAATGGCCTGCCCAACTCTGTAGGAACTGAAACAGCAGAAGAATCTGCTTCTGAAAACTTACCTTCCTCATTGGAAGATCAAAATGAGGAAGCAGGGCACAATTCACAGGAGGGCCCTGCTGCCTTGAGTCAGAGCTCTTTGGTAATGGTTGACCTTGAGGGTGTTTCCTTTCAGCAGCCTTCTGGACAGGAAGCACAGAAGAACCAGCTGGAAGAGCCCTCTGAAGAGCCTACAGAGCAGACGGATCACTACACGCAGACAGTGGCAGAGCGGGCTGCTGACAGCAGCTCTGAGGAAGCAGAAATCGAGGTACCCATTGTAGATCGGAGAAACTTGCGAAGAAAGGCCAAAGGCTACAAAGGTCCACCCAAGAAAAAAGGAAAGCCATCTTAAAAATGAAGTGGCGATAATTCATCTATTTATAAGGAGKTTATTTTGTGTAAAACATTAGGGTGTAACTGCACCATATCCGGCACAGGACATCTGGTACATGTTTAAAATTCTGGGCTGGATTTCTTCTTGGGTTCATCACCTTTCCTCAAGTTTTGGTGTGTTGTTTTGTTTTCTTTTTTTAATTTAAGCTGTAGAAATTGAACTTCATAGTATGAAAGTAAGTAGTCAGTCTCTGCCCTTCAGAGATAATACATGCTGAATAAACATAGTTGTGCAATCAAAAGAAACAGTTTGTCTATTTGAGGTGGCAGTCATGGAAGAAAAATGCAGTGTGAAATCCTGGTCCCTTATATGGCTATAGACTTCCATGTCACTGGACATCAATCTAGATAATATTTTAATTTTGAGTAAGTTTGTGTTCTCTACTGTGGAGAAAAGCAGAACAAGAAAACTCCTTCATTGATTCTTGTTCCCTTCCCACAGGTTTAAGARATTAAAAGAATGTAAGATTCTTCATTCTAGGTCTTAAAATGTACAAGAAGGTGTAGCTCAGTAGATCAATGCAACATGAGCAGCACTTGTCTTTCATAAGAATCACGTGAACAGCTGAGTCAATAGAATGCAGTGCAGTATCTGCCATAGCACTTCCTGATAATGGATTTCTTGTGCAAAGATTGAGATGCCTACGCAGTAAATTATTTGTAGCTTCCAAAGCATTTGGTAAGCCTAAGTTTTTCCGGAGTGTATGAAATGTAGCCTCCATATGGAATCATTTGAACTGCCTTCCTGACAACTTACGTGTGTTGAGTGGATAGTTGATTACTTGTTACATTACAGGAAAGGGATATGACAATGCCTGATCTTGTTTTAGTCTGAATGGAAGTGGTTCTTTGTGTTTCCCAAATACTTGGCTGGTGCTGTGGGGTATGTTGTGTCTTCCAGGTGTGCAACTCCTGTGAGCACTGGCATTTCAGGTGGTTGTGATATTCATTAATGTATTAGTGGGTATTTCAGCAAATGCTTGTTTGCCAAACCTCTATGCCTTTAGGAGTTAGTGGGTGATACCCTGCAAATGCTTCTGATATCCATTTTTGCTTTCTAACCTGAGTGTAGTTCCTGGGATGACAGTTTTCCAGTTCATTACTTCTTTAAAGCAGCAGCCAAACTTTGCTGTATGCAGACAGGAATAAAACCAGATTTTTCATGCTTATTTCCCCTCTGAGGTTCTCTTGGCAAACCATGTGTTTAACTTGTCACACATATCTAAGTTACTCCTTRGTTTGCTATGTGTTTCACAGGACAGCGATGCTGAGAACAGTAAATCACACCACTTTTTGTCCTGTATATGCCTTTTTCAAGGTTCACAGCGTCTCAAAAACAGAAGTACAAGGTTCACTTGAATAGTTGCAATGCTGTCTTAACTTTTATCCCTTTAGGAAGGTAAGGTAAGAATCTGGCTTTGGATTTTTATGCCTATATGGTTTAACTCTATTTATAAGGTATTTTAACTATATGATACATTGGTACTATTTTTTTCAGCTGATGAAGTACCATGCTCCTTTTTAATCTGTTAAGAGAATCTCATAGAAAAAAGGCATTTTCTAAGAAATGTGTGTTACCTAAACTTAAGATTCAGGGTATGTGAGATTACTGAGTTAAATCTGGGTTTCTTGAACTATTGCATGTAGTTATATCTTATCAATGTATATACAGATACMCTTTTAGAGCCCTATTACTGATAAATATTCAAAATCATTCCTGATTGTGTGTAAACATGGTCAAGTGAACCTTAAGCATTTCTAAAACTGATAAAGCTTTTTATATAAAGCATATAAGACAAAGCTTCTGTTATCTTCTGTATGGCTTCTCTTTCACTGCTGAGATTTTTTCTGTTAAAAAGTGGCTGGAAAACACATCTATTGCTAAGAATTGGGGATTTTTGAGGACTGGTGGCCTAAAATAGAGTGGTTATATAGAGTATWCTGCAACTTATCCTCCATTTTTAGGGCAAGCTTTACTGAAGATTAATATTCTGAATCCTTCAATTTGTATAAATGTATCCACTTTGGAAATGTTAAGGATTCTTTTGCTTATGAGCCCCAGTAATTTCAGTTACTTCCAGGTGGATTTTGATTATATGTTTGTTACTTACATTCCCTGTAAAGTTGGAAAACTGTTCATGAGAAGGTAATTTCACTTACCTGGCTTTTACTTTTCGTGGAACAAAGTTGGAACAATTGCAGTTAGTATCTTTCTTTTAAGACATTTGCAGAGTAAATACACAAATATCATGAGATTATGGTACTGGAATAGGCATGATTTCTACTGAGAATTATCAAATTTCTGATCTCATTTCAGTTAGTTCTAAATACTGAACTTAAATTTACATGTTAAAAGTATACCCTTGAATAGATGTCTCTATAAATCTGGGGTATCTGGGATAATAACTGATGTCAAGACTTTCATTAACAGAATGTGAGCAGTTGTGGTGCAATTAGCAATTCCAGCAACCAGYAGAGTCTTGAAAAATTGACACTGTTCTAACAGTGGTCACAGCAGTACTTTGAACCAAAGGACATGCTTTATTTCTATAACTTCTTTGGCACCAATCTTTCTCCACTAAATGCAGAGTAACAAAATCAAAATAGTGACTTTAAGTAGTAGTTTCTATTGCTGTACTGATTGTCCCACTGGAACAGTAGTTCAATACCTTATTCATTCTGTTAAACTTACCTAAGGGAACATGTTTGACAACTATATTGACTGGAGTGTTTTACCTTGGGGACTATTAACTGTCTTACTAACATCAAACTCTTAAATAATTTTTAAGATCCTATTGCACCAGCAACGWATAATTAAAACATCGACTTTATACAAGTTTGTACCAAATGTTATTACAACATGCTGTGGATCTATGTGTGTAGAGTGAAAGCAAGCAGTATTATTTTTGAGCTTTATTTAGTCTAGGAATAGAGTATAAAGAACATTAATTTGTGACTTCAGCCTTGCACTTAAATGGTAAATGGTTTTGTACTTGAATCCAATATTCGTTCTAATGTCTGTCTTGTACTGCTTCTCCCACATTCTCTTGCTCAGTTTTAATTTAATGCAGAATTCTTGTTTGCTGTTCTCCTGTTTCATAGCCCTTCGCATGAAAGTGTATACATCTTATTTCAAAAGCGCTTTAACTTCTTTCAGATTATGTCTGACCTTGCTGCTTTTTTGTACCATTTCATTTGTAGATGTCAGTAATCAAATCGATCATTTACAATGACATTGGCACTATTAGCAACAAATAGGTCTAAATTTCAGCTTCCTTGCTTTTAAGTGACTGTTCTAAAATATTACTATGGGGATACACTTCTAAATTTATTTTCACAAATGTGGTGTTAGATGTTTTCTAAACTAGTGATACCCTGTTTATAAATCTTATGAAAGATGTATTGCTATTGCATAGTATTGTACCTTAGTCTTGTTACTGTGTTAATTTTTCCTTTTTTTGGTACTGTCTTGGCTGCTTTTGAAATGTTTTGAAGTAGTAATAAACTTTTATTTTATGATTATTTTTGTTTGGTTTTTAGTATTTGAGTACTTTCTGCTATCTAGGATGCACATTTTAAAGTGGTTCAGTTCACTGGAACTATCATTTTACAACCTATCTTCTACAAAGAAGTTTGTAAAACATAAAAAATACTAATTAAAAATACTTTATTGATTAAAATAATTTTCTTTTGCTTATGCCTCAGATTTTATTAAAAGAAAAATGCTGCAGAATAGGCTCTTCTGAATATTACACCACGCATTCTGGTGTTTATATTATTATGCAAGATGATGTAAACTTAGTAGTTATCAATGTAGTATGTTATAGACTAGCCAACTAAAAATGCTGTAATGCACTGTCCTASAGTGTGGTACATTAAAATGTCTTAAATGCAATTGTGTTATTCAGCCAGCAAGTCAAGTATTTATAGCACTAAATGTAGTCACGTTTTTCAAGACAGCTGTAGGGAATTAAAGTATTCTCTTCATGTTGTTAATGTCCAGTAAAGATGAAAGCAACAAGAACTTTGCTTTATAAGAATAAATGGAGGTTTATCTGTTCTGACAAAATGCTCTCTTTCCAAGCAAGTAACTTACTGTCTTGTGACCCTCTCTTACTTTCAAATCACTTGTCACTAACACAAAGTAAATAACTTAGTAAGTAACTAGGGCAATGTGTTAAACTAATGGAATAGTTTGTAAGAGGCGCAGACTTTGTGGTTGCAGTCACTGTCTCTGTAAGGTGGTGTAAGAGAAGTCATAAAGATGGTASAAAAGCAGCTAGCTTGACTTCCTGGCCAGAGTTTCAGATCTGAAACATGACTGGAGAAGCATCTGTGATAGAATAGGCTGGAGCTGCAATTCGTCTCCCTGGAGAAGAGAAAGCTCAGGAGGGTCTTACTTTGTCTGCACATACCTGGTGGATGGGGAGTGTATGTCACAAATGCTTTAGATTGCTTAAAGAATCACTGTCAAAGGTATTAGCAAAAGCAGGTTTAATATAAATCACCAAAAGCATGACTTAAAAAAGTTTGATGGCAAGATTCACTGCTTTACTTACTAAAGAGATGAAGCATACAAAGGAAAATTGAATTAGRATAAATCTAAAATTTAATTTAGAGATGTAGGATGCAAAAAGGTGAAGACCTTCTGCTGAGTCAGCAGGTTCAGGGAGGACCCCCTTACTTTTGCAGCAGCATAGAAGATAAGGTTTGTTGGTAATTACRTGCTGAGAAAGAGCAGGACTTGACTTGAGATGGGGACATGCAGAGACAGGGCAGCACTTTCCCAGGACAAATATCCTTGTTCTGGCTCCTGGAAGTAATGCACAACACAGAATAGAGCAAACATAGGAATGGGGTTGAGGTACCCCCATGACCCCATGATGCCTGGGTTACACATGTGCCCCAGGATGCGGACACCCCATCAGCTGGATCAACACTTATGCTCCCTCCCCCCCTCATCTCTCTCTTTTCAGCGCACCATTTATCCAAGACACACTGGTGTGTGCTTGTACAAGGAGATCAGGGACTAACATACTAATTTCTATGCTAAGTATGGAATTTTGAGAACCCTCTGACTTTTATCATTCCAAACACCTATGAATCTTGAGTATTTCCTTCTCTTTATGGCTGGGATGCCACAGCTTTCCAAACCCCTGACAGAGCATAACTGAGTCCAATCTTAGTTCTAGACTTTGTCAATGTTGTCAATCCTGAAGGATTTCGCAGCATTTGACCATTATGAAGTGATTCAACAAGATTTACTCAACCATGACTTAATTATATCTGATATGGCAACTGTACTTGCTACAGGGCGTTTAAATCAATTCACAGATATGTGTGCGTGTATATATCTGTAGATAGATATATACATACAAAGATAAAGATACCTGCTAAAGTTCCAATGACTTCAGTGAAATACTTGCACTGAACGCTTTTGCTTTTCTCAAGTAGTTAGATTTGAGCCTTAAGGAGTGAAGGGAGCTATCAGCCCAGGCCCTATCAACAGCTTTCAATACTGGTCCTCTGAGTATCACAAGCTCTTGAGTTAGTGAGCTCTGGGAAGTGTTCCACTAAAAGGAACCTGCTCTACCCAGGAGGGCCTCACTTTAGACTRTTGTTTATAGGATTGCAAGATGGTTTACTTTAGACATCAGTTAATCTTCATCCTGGCCATAATTACTGGAATCCTATCAAAGTCCAGTAATAATAATACTGTTCCATACTGGCTATGGTTCAGGTAAGTAATACTCAAAGACTTTTGGGGATGGCTGATTATCTCTTGTGTCTCTCCTTGGTTAGGCATCAGAAGTTCCTGTTTATGGAGTATTTCTGGTGAGCTCAAGGGGTGCTTAACTGTGCAAGAACTGTTAAGGCAAAAACCTAATGAGACCACAGAGCAGCCTGAGGAGGAGAAGGCAGAGGCCATGCATCACTGCAGAATAAAAATATGGACTAAGACTCAGTGATGCCCAACTGGCATATAGGAAATTCTATTTAAACAAAAACCAGTTTAAACTAAAAGTGGTCAGATGCTGGATCAGGTTGCTCAGACAGGTTGTAGAATCTCCACCCCTGCTGTAGGTGACTCTGCTTTGACTGGGGGCATGCACTACATTATCTCAAGAAGTCCCTTCCAACCTAACATCTCTGATTCTATCTGCCATACAATCTGCTTTCTGCATGTGTGATCAACTGTAGCCTGAAACTTTCATTAAAGCAAAAAAGCCCAAAGCAAACCTATTGACGTTCTGACTTCTGAAATATCTTGCGTTTCATCTGAAAATTTTCTTCTTGCAGTGTTGAAAGATACTAGTGCCTGAAGAAACTGGATGAAATTTATAGATTTGACTTGCAACATGTGCTAAAAGCTCCTTTGGCTAGAAGCGAAGTACTATTTCAGAGTAAAAATATAAAATGGTGGGTGTGGTCATTTACAGTGATAACATACTTCTGTTTGCCACTAAATTAATGACTGGAAGATTACCCATGCAGTTATATTCAGCATTGCTGAAAGCTTCCAGTTTAGAAGCAACTTTTGCTTTTTTCATTTCAAGAATGCAAGCTAAACACATATTGATCAGCTGAGGCTTGCAACCTTTAGTTTTTCTTCAGTATTTCTCAAAGCCATCAAAGTTGTGTTTTCAAATTTCACATCTTTAAGCACTCTTAAATTTGTACATTTAAACTTCTGAAACTGTTCTCTTGCTTGGAACTAAGGTGCTACGTTCTCCTACCCTTATTTTTTCTCTTAATGCAGTTGTGGTAACAAAAGAGAAGACTTGAGGTAAGGTGGCAGGTGGAGAGTAGCTGCCCTTCYGGTTATCTTTCACCCCGCACTGTGGTGGCAAAAGTCCTTTTCCACTTGGATCTGAGAAATGCTCATTAGGCCTCTGCCATGACTAACAGCACCTGGACTCAGCTCCTCTTGAGCTTATCACACTGTGCTCCCAGGGTCYACTGCTGAGAAGCTCCTGTTTTCATAAAGGACAGCTTTGGAAATGATTTTTCTTGCCTGTATGATATAACATCCTTGTTCTTACACTTTCAAGAAAAGTGCTGACCCAGACTGGGCCCAGGATGAAACGCTGTTCTGACTAAAGCCCACTCTTGTGACCCTGTAAACAGCTGTCCAAAATGGGGCCCTCTGAGCTCTCCTGGGCTGCASCAGCTGCTGGCAGCAACCTCCCTGCGAGTGGGGCCGTTCAGAGCCAGCGTGCTCTCATGTTTGCTACACTCAGAGGATAGCAGAACAATGATGAGTCCTGGGCTGACATCCTCACTCAAGGCCCCATCCTTCACATGTTAATGAGATGCAAAGGCATCCAGAGTGAGTATTTCACTATCTTCAAGGGGAATGTTTCACAGGTACCTTTCACTGACTTTGTGTGCATACATGTACACATATGCTGTGGCAAATGCTGGGAGAAATGCTGCTTTCTTAGATGTTCAAGTAACTTTAGACATCTCAGTTAGACTTGTAAGTAAGGTAAAGTCAAAAGCTAAACTAAATGTTGCCCAGTGTTGTTCTTCTGCTGAGTTAAGTTATAATTTAAATTAGGTTAAAAGCTGTTGCAAGTGTTATTCCTGTTAAATTGTTAAGTTATAACTTAAAGCTATGAGTGAAGTTTAAGGTATAGATTAAGTACTGTTAACTTTGAGTGCTCTGAGACTTTCAGTACATATTATACTTTATTCTTGCCCTTTTTATCTTTCTATCACATGCACCTAAAACCACATACCCCCCACACCCATGCCCTATATTGTTCTTGGTTAATTTCTGTTTGATTGCCTGAATTTTGTTTTTT